TTGCTCTCTATTTATATGCTGTGGCCTGCCTTGCCAGTGCTGGTGGGGGTGGGGGTTTTGTTTTGCTCCTCTGAACCAAAGATTCAACATTTCAGTACTGCACTTTGTATTCTGCTGTAGCATCTGCAGCTATAATTGTGTCCTTTATTTCATGTAGTGTTTGCTGTGTACCCACTGTTGCACTGGTTCCAGCTATATTAGTTTTTCACTTAAATCTTTTCCACTTAGAAAAAAGCTTGTGTTTGTGTCGTGATAGTATCTAGCCATCTTGCCTTCTCAACCTGTTTTTTTCATTCCCTTCCATTTTTGCAAGCATCAGGGTTTTCTCCAGTGACTCTTGCTAGATTTATATGCCTCTCTTCTTCAAGAAGTTCAAGGTGGCATACATAATACAGTTTTTCTTCCAAGTAAGTTAGGCTGATTGTCCCAAAATTATCCATGATGGAGCATTGACTTGAGATTGTAGTCTAAACACCTTTACGTTAACAATGGGGCATACTGGCTCATAAAGGTAGATTATAGGTTGGATTCAGATATAGATGACCAAATCTAGATTTCTATTTCTGCGGTATCGTTTTCAGCTGATCCTCACTGTTAGTGAAGATACACTGTTCAAATTAATTACAAATCAAGCAAACTGAAAAAAGAACAGAAAAGTTACTCATTTAGAGGGGAGAAAACTGTACTTGAAAAATGAAAAGAAAAATGAATTCTAGGTTTTCTATTTTAATTTTATAGATTATTTTATAGATATTTTTGGTTGTTTTTTTTAATTACAAAATTTTAAAAAAATGTTATTTATAACCAAATGTTTTTGCTGAATTTTGAAATAAATTTGTTAGGTGTATTTAAATTTCAGAATGGATGAACTGGAAACTAAGTTTTTGTAGCATACCACTGTGGATCTCCATTTGCATTCCCAAATACACTATATTCCTCTAATAATCTTATTAAAGATTAGTAGAGGAATATAGTGTATTTTGGAATGCACTAACAGCAATATCTGTTTTAACACAAAATCCTGTAATTTGAGAGGTTTCAGCTGTATCAAAAGTACTACAGCCTTCTACAGTGTCAGCATTTGCTCTGGTTCCATGGTCTCATATTTAAGAAGAATTTAAAATATCTTTTATGTAGATCATATTGTTGATGGAATGAAGTCAACATAAAAAAAATACTAGATTTTATTATTCTTCCTATTACTGAAAGGGATTCCTCAGTCTTATTAAAAATGTTAGGTGATGGTCACAAATGGCTTGTAAGTGGAAATAGTCCTGTGGTTAATTCATAAGTTTTTTTTCTTTTAGGTATGCAAATATTCCTGGCCTTTGTATTTTCTCTATTAATTGTAGTCTGTTCTGAAGACTGAAAACTGAGTTTGAACTGATATTTTGTCTTCTTGAAAGTACATTCTTTGAAATGGTTGCATTTTCTCAGTACATTTATTATGTTTTCTATAAAGCTTTTGTTTTTGATCAACACAAAGTTGAATGATACTTTCAGTATCTCTATTAATATTTGGCTTTTTACAATCATCCTACACCAAATCCATGTTTATTTTTTTCCATTTCCTTTGCTTCATATTTCATCCATATTTGGTAAGACTAGGGAATTTCTTAGTGTCACTAAATCTTAAAAATTATATAGATTGTAATGAAAGTTAATATATTTTGCTTGCAAAGCTATATTAAAATAACAGTAGCCTCTGGTAAAGGCATTGGTATAGGCTCCCTATTAAATTTCTGTGGTAAGATGAGTTGCTCTGAAACAATAACTAGCCTTGAAGTGATAACTTCTCTCCTCCACCTTTTTAGTAGCTGTACCCAGAGTTCTAGGGACCCACGTATGCTTCTGGAATTATGTACATCTGCTGTAACATGTAATATGGTTTGCAAATAATTATTAATGTGAATCAAACCTCTAGTACATTTTCTAGAAACCAAGATAGAAGCAAACCATGTGAAATGTGAACCCAGCTGGAAAAATAAATTTGG